TTAACAAGATTTTCAATTTCATTTGATTCATTTAATTTGGAATTCAGGTTCTTCAGTCGGTGGTTCCAATTAAAGATGAAGAGGTTGTGATTGGACAATAAGAAGGTTATATGGATGATCTAACAATTCCTAACAACTCAAATACTCCAAAATTTGCAACAGTGGTTCTACGTGTGCACAAAGTACATAATTTTTGTTCATAGGGTACATAATTTTTGTTCATAAAGTACATTATTTGTGTGCATAAAGATTAGGTGTATATAGTGCATTATCTATCTGCATCATAAGTAAACAAATACAGGATTGAATGATTGGAAGGAAAACTTGATGGTGGTAATTGACAGTTTTTTGTGTCAATTTGATAGTGATAATTGACTATTAGGAAGAACAGTTGATATTGATATGTCTTAACCTATTTTGTAAATATTTTATTTTGTTATAAAAAGTTTATGTTATAATATTCAAATTACATTATTTCATAAATATTATCCCTATTGTACATTGTTATAGCATAAGGTACATTATTATAACCCACAAATTATATTACCAAATCAAGTGTCGGGCCGTTCATGAATACATGTGAAATTAACAAGAATACATTTATTAATTCATAGGGTACATTATTTTAGAGCATAAGAAGAAACAATTAGCATAGAGAAAGGGAGATAAAAAATTCGCAACTGTAGAAGAAGAGAGTGAATAACGGCAGAATGACAGCGTTATAATTCAAGTAGCGAATTTTTTTTTAAAGGATAAAACGACGTCATTTTGGACCATGGTCCATGCAATAATTTGTCATTCACCTTGCCAATCTCATTTAGCACTAAATTCTTCATTGTTGTACGGGCATGTGGCCCATTCTAACTGGGCCCAACAGGAAAAAGTTGGTGGTTCAATTTGGAGAGCCCATCAAGCGCTAGTGGATCGAGAATGTTCCGGCTTAATATGATGTTATATATCTACTATACTAATAAGAGCCCAAGAGAGTTAGGCCTATAATGGGTAGAAAAAATGGCGGTCACAGATTTTAATCAAATGAATGGCTCAGATTGATTAAAAGATTGATCAGATTTAAATTTTACACTAACATTTTCTAAAATACCCGCACACCGTTACTAATTCCGTTAAAATTTTAAGAATTGCCGTTAGTTCACCGTTAACTTACTCATTGATTTCAATAAAAAAAAAAAGTCTTAGGTTCGAACCTCATCCCAATCAAAGTTGGCATAATTAGTACTCTATTTTACTCTTATTAAATTATTATTATATAAATAATAATTTAGTAGTTACAACAAAAAATAATATATGCATTTCTTTAATTTAGAATTATGTGTCCACAATGTCTTTATTCAAAAGAAAAAATTATTCATTATCAATAAATTAAATAAGACAAATAATTTTATTAGTTATATTGTCTTTATTTTTCTTCAATATAAAAATTCTTTATATTCAAATTTATTAATTGATTATATTCGCTACATTGTCCTTACAATGTCTTTATTCAGTGAAATTTTTTTTTTATTAATTATCAATAAATTAATTAAAAGAAATTTTTTCGTTAGTTATATTGTCTTTATTTTTCTCAAATGTAAAAATTTTTACATTCAAATTCATCAATTGATTATATTCACTACATTATCTATTATCTTTTTTGTGCACTATTTTTCTAATTAAATATCAAAGTTATAATACAAAATAATGCTATATATTTATTTACCAAGTATTTTATTAATACCATGAAAAAATTAAAAAAATATAATTAATAAAGCTAACCATATTAACTACTTGAGAGATTTTGTGACAAAGAGAGTATTCAAATCACATAACAAATTGAAGTGAGAACTACCTCACAATGTCCTTGTTTGACAATCAGCAGTTAGCGGTTAGCGTTAGCGGATTAGACCAGCGAATTTATTTAATTATTAACATTGGGTAGAAAAAATGACTGCCAAATTATTAAATCAAATGAATGGTTCATATTGTTCAGGTTTTAATTTTTTTCTTTTAAGATTTTCTAATTTATCCTTAACTATATGATTATCCATTTAACTTTTCCGTTAATTCACCATTAGTCTAATTCTAATATTAAAGTCTAATATAGAATTATAACTACACCATTAATCTAATTCTAATATTAAAGTCTTAATAGAACTTAACCACAAATCATAATGTCGGAATCTCCTCAAACAATATTAGTATAAATTTAATATTTTATGCCCTAATTTTTATTTGTTTTCCCTTATGTCATGTATTTGGTTTCAACCATACCTATACAATTATTTTATTGACAATTATAATCAATCTTGACTATATTATCTTGCATTTGTAAACTTAGAATTATCTATTTAACTCGCACGGGCTTAGCTCAATAGTTTAGTGGGTAGTATTTGGGAGAAGACACCAAGGTTTGAACCTCGGCGGTGGCAGTGCAGGAATTATGTCCAAAGTGGGCAAATTCCTTGTGCGTATCAGCATTTGGCCCTGTCTGCTGAACCATTGAGTCACCGTGATTTACAACTTCCCACAATGCTTTGTCGGGTCGGAATGTGGGGGGCCCTTGGGGTTGGAGACTCAACCTTTGGGAGAAGAATTACCATTTAAATACGCAAATTCAACCTTCAATTATCTATGCATGAACAATTTCAATATAATTCCTGCCTTAATATACTTTAAAGTACTTATTTAAAAAAAAAAAAAAGCATTGGGCATTATCCCAATCGCGCAATGCGCGTAAAAAACTAGTATATATATATATATATATATATATATATATATATATATATATATATATATATATATATATATATATATATATATATATATATATAATTACGTCCGGAAGAATTCACAAGATGACATAATGTAGTGTAATATGCTCGAGCAGCATTCAAATTACATATCACCCGATAATCTTCAAGATTGTAGTTCTACTAGCATCGATAATGAAAATTTAAGTGAGTCAACTAGTTAGATGAAGGATATTTGAAATAATATTGCTACTTTATTATGTGATGCAAAACCAATAAAAGTAATATACATTTAGACTTTAAATATATAACTTTATAAAAATATCTTTTTGTCTTTTTGGCACTTATATTTTATTCAACAGCTAATTCTTCCGAACACCTAATTTCAATCATTTAGCCTATTAACTACCTTTCAATTTTCAACTAACTTTTTAACTAAGCGTGCGAAACCTAAGTAAAAATATTATTATAATTGAAAGATTAAAATAAATAAAGAAGTAAACTACCTCAAAATATTGAGGCAATACGAAACGTATTCATAAATATTCTGAATATTCAATTTTAAAAAATCATTTGAATTTTTGAATAATTTTATAATGGAATATGGAAAATGGATGTAAGAAAAATGTGCTTGTGGAACGTGTTTTTCTAAATTGGAAGAGAAAAAAATACAGCCTTGATGTTAAGGTTCCTCTTTCTATGTTGCCCATACGAGCTAGCCCAAAAGGAAAAAGATGATGGTTCAGTTTGGACAACCCATCAGGCGTTAGTGGACTTTTGATGCTCCGGCCCGTAATCCTTCCACTGCAGAGAGGAAGAGGTGGTCGCTGCTACGCGGTGCCCTCCGATCTAATGGTCGAGAAGCCTCCGCCTTCGCAGAAACTCCACGACCGAACTCATAACTTAGAATGGGCAGGCCAGTAGATAGCACCACAAGCCCAGCCTTCAAAGGTAAGCCCAACTATACCACCATCCTAGGCAAATTATGCCCTGGACCCGTGTCCACAATTCATTGTGGACACGGGCCCAAAACGACGTCGTTTTTTTTAAAAAACGCGTCATTTAGTTTTTTTTTTTTAAAAATCGCGCATGTTTTTCCATTAACGGTGTTATTATTATTTTTTTTGGATTATGAATGTACAATTATGCCGTTATGAATGTACAATTATGCAATTATGAAATTATGAATACAGAGCTCTAACATTATGAACTTACAATTATGAACATATAGTGATAAAATTATGACCATGGAGCTTTAAAATTGTGAATATAGAGCTTCGAAGATTATGAATGTACAGTTATGGAGTTATGAATGTACAGTTATGGAGTTATGAATCTACAGTTATGGAGTTATGAATCTACAGTTATGAGATTATGAATCTACTGTTATGGAATTATGAATGTACAATTATTGATCGAATTATGAACAAAGAGCTCTGACATTATGAACTTACAATTATGAACATATAGTGATAAAATTATGAACATAGAGCTCTAAAATTGTGAACATAGAGCTTCGAAAATTATGAATGTACAATTATGGAGTTATTAATGTATAGTTATGGAGTTATGAATGTACAGTTATAGAGTTATGAATGTACAGTTATAGAGTTATGAATGTACAGTTATGGATTTATGAATGTACAGTTATTAACATATAGTAATAAAATGATGAACATATACTCCTATAACGAAGCGGTCTGATTTTTTTTATTTTTATTTTTTTAAAAAAAGGAGATAATAGTGTCTAACAGCACTGTTATCCGTTTCGTTAAGCGGATACGGGTAACAGTGCCATTAGATACTATTATTATTATTTTTTTTTTTTTAATTTCAAGAAGAAATATTCCTCCTCTCTTTCCGATGTGGGAACTTGTGCGAGCCTCTCATGGGGAAAAAATGGAGCTGAGAACTCTGATGTACTTATGTTTATGCCTGGCGTTTAACAGATATGAGATTTGCGCTGTATCATGGTTCACCAAAAACTTAGGAATGTAGATGAAGCCTTGGTTTTTTGATATTTTTGTTGAAGGGGGGCTTATATGTGACGCAGAGACAGCCTGGAAGTTTTGCTTCACTGAACGGAATGGCAGAGATGAGTTAGCTTTGATTCATTTCCATTATCAATTTCATTTCACCCTCACATTATTTTCCTACTTTTAGTATAAATTGTGCGGGCTGAAGTTTTAGAAATGAATTGAAGTTGCAGTGGCGGTTTGTATAGATTGGTTATTTAGTAGTTTTGATGATTTATTGAGTTTAGGGGAAATTAGGGTTGTGATTTGAGATTATGCATAAAGATTTTTTGTGTGCAATTTGATCTTTTTATGGATAATGGATAAATAATGTAGGCAGTTTACATAGAGGCAATTGTGAATTTGTGATGGTGCAAGAGTATCATCAGCAAATCTTGATTGGTGGTATTCGAGATGTTCAGGGCCATTACCCTCAGCTCAGGTTCCTTACTTTTGCACTGTGTATACTAAAACAATAGGACTCAATATAAAAATTGCCATAATGTTAACAATAATCTTGTAAAATCTCATCCTTTTTGTGAACCATTTACCTCTTCAATTTAGAAAGATATTTAGAAGATGAATTTGTTTTGTGATATTTCTATGGTAATTGAAAATATTTTAGGTTTATGAAGCTCTTGAGCTTCAGATTGTAGCTACAGAAGCTGCTCAAATTGAGAAGTCCCAGCAAATGGCATTAGTGCTGCAGATGCTTCAGACCCTTCGATTGGAGGTGTTTCCAATCAATTATTTATGGGAACCTCAACTTGGGCAGGTGCTGTTATCCATGGTATGACCTTTGATTTTTTGGATTTGATTGAGAAATTACTTTGCAAGTTTTTGTTGAGTTATCAAGTTTTATCTTTGTATTTGCTATTGTCCAGTGGTTGAATGTTAATAGTTTGGGTGTCAAATGAAATATCTAAAGCTATGCTGCCTTTATAGTTTATAGATTGGTGAATGTTTTAGATATATGGTATTGCAAATCAAATATATATGCTGCCTTTATCTTCTCCTCTGATGCTTAATTTAAAATGTTAATACTTAGTAGGATGAGCTGCAAAAACTTGGCTGACCAAACGGTGTGAGATTGCGAGTGCAAAGTTGAGGTAGGATTCACCCATTGCTAGGTCTGGTTGGTTTGGAATTTGTTTTGTGTTGAACTTTGAAAAGTTGACACATCTAATTTAATTACATGCTTATGGCAAGCATGGAAGCACTGAACATTAGGTTACCACTTAGCAGCACACTTCAGTGTTCACGGGCCAATTAGCTTCTTATATTTCCGTCCTGTTGTTCTTTTAAAGCTTGAGACTTATACACCACATACAATTCCTGCTCTCTATAAAATGAGGTAAAGAAAACATGACCTCTTTCCATTCCATTCTTAGCGCATAACTCTAAAAGTAGAAACTATTATGTCAAGTTAGACCATTGTTCCAGGAAATATTTGGTTGAATCTACACAGGGAACTTCACTTGCATATGATAAAGCGGTATAATTCTGTAGTATAACGTATCTTCTCTGCCTACAAAGGTGCTTAGGTATATGCATATATGTCCATTCTTCGAAATTCATTTATGTGTGTAATGCTTAGGTATATGCATATATGTCCATTCTTCGAAATTCATTTATGTGTGTAATTTGATTGATATATTTGTTGAATTTTTGAATAATTTTATAATGTTGTATGTAGTCTAAAGAGTTAGATTTGGAAAATGAATGTAAGAAAATGTGCTTGTAAAACATATTTTTCTAAATTGGGAAAAAAAAGAATGTTTAAAAAACCCAGAAACATTGTAACCGATACTACATTGGGTAAAAAAAACCGAGAAACATACTTGATATAATATGTTAATAGAACGCTTGAAAATGACTTCAATATAAAGGTTCCTCTTTCTATGTGGCCCATACGAACTAGGCCTAAAAGGAAAAAGATGGTGGTTCAATTTGGACAACCCATTAGGACTAATGGACCTTTGATGCTCCGGCCCGTTATCCTTCCACTGCAGAGAGGAGGAGGTGTTCGCTGCTCTGTGAAACCAGCCTGACACGGTGCCCTCCAATCTAAGGGCCAATAGGCCTCGGCCTTCGCAGAGACTCCACAGCCAGACTCACCACTTGGAACGGGCAGGCCAGTAAATAGCATCACAAGCCCAGCCTTCAAGGTAAGCGCATTTATTCCACTATCTTAATGCTCCCACTTGGGCTACAGACTTACGCTACCAAGCCCAGCAAACAGAGCTTCTACCTACGGACTTATTAAGAAAAATATTCCTCCTCTGTTTCCGATGTGGGAAATTGGGCGAGCCTTTCATGGGTAAAAAATGGAGCAGAGAACTCTGATGTACTTATGTTTATGCCTTGATTTGTCAAACACTTAGGAATGTAGATGAAGCCTTGGTTTCTTCTATTTTTTTTTTTTTTTTTTTTTTGGTAATGGAAATTATATCATTTTTGTTGAAGGGGGGCTTATATGTGAAAAGTTAGCTGATGTTTTTGCTCCTACACTTTCATTCGTCTTGATTGTTCAGTTCGGATCTTTCTCTGTTTTATATGCTTGCTAATGCCTAGGTCATCTTTGTATTTGCTATTGTCCAGTGGTTAAATGTTAATAGTTTGGGTGTCAAATGAAATATCTAAAGCTATGCTGCCTTTATAGATTGGTGAATGTGTGCTTTAGATACAATTCCTGCTCTCTATAAAATGAGGTAAACAAAACATGACCTCTTTCCATTCTTAGTGCATAATTCGATCTAAAACTAGAAACTGTTATGCCAAGTTCACCATTGTTCCAGGAAATATTTGGTTGAATCTACACAGGAAACTTCACTTGCATATAATAAAGCGGTACGGTATAATTCTTTAGTTCTTCTGCTTTATTGAATTTGAACACTGCTGTTGCATACCCTCCGTTTTGGCGTCCGATTTAAAAGTCTTCTACCTCAAGATGAAGGCTGAATTCAAGATTGGTGCTGAGAGTAAGGTGGCTGTTGAGAGCACCCTCTCTGCCTACAAAGGCGCTCAGGTATATCTATATATGTCCATTCTTTGACATTCATTTATGTGTGTAATTTGTTGTCATATCTGAAATTAAAATTACCATTGACAAAGCTTAATAAATCTGGTTGTTCTTATTTTTTACATATTATTAACATGTGTGTGGTTCGAAATTGATTGGAATTGAAGGATTAAAATGAGTAATGATTTGATATTGGTAGGTCAAATGATTGTATTCTGTTTCATTGATTGATCAAATGCAAGCTTAGTCTGTTAACTCATTCCTTAGAGTTATTTGGCTATCAACTTTAATTTACAGTTCCCTTAGAGTTTTTAAATAATTTTATAATGTTGTTTGTGAGTCTAAAAAGTTAGATTTGGAAAATGAATGTAAGAAAAATGTGTTGTAGAACGTGTTTTATTAAATTAAAAATACTTGATATAATGTTAATAGAAGCTGTGAAAATGACTTCAGTATAAGGTTCCACTTTCTATTGGCCCAAAAGGAAAAAGATGGTGGTTCGATTTGGACAACTAATCAGGCACTACTGGACCGAAGATGCTCCGACCTGTTATCCTTCCACTGCAGAGAGGTGGAGGTGTTCGCTGCTCTGTGAAACCAGCCTGACGCAGTGCCCTCCGATCTAAGAACTGAGAAGCCTCTGCCTTCGCAGAGACTGCACAGCCGGACTCACCACTTAGAACGGGCAAGCCAGTAGATAACACCCCAAGCCCAGCCTTCAAGGTAAGCCCATTATTCCACCATCTTAATGCTCCCATTTGGGTTACAGGCTCACACTACCAAGCCCAGCAAACAAGATTTCTAGCTATAGAGTTATTAAGAAGAAATATTCCTCATCTGGTTTCGATGTGGGATATTGTGTTAGCCTTTCATGGGGAAAAAATGGAGCAGAGAATGCTGTTGTATCATTGTTCACAGGAATGCAGATGAAGCCTTAGTGCATAATTCGATCTAAAAGTAGAAACTGTTATGCCAAGTTGGACCATTGTTCCAGGAAATATTTGGTAAAATCCATAGAGGAAACTTCACTTGCATATAATAAAGCGGTATATATAATTCTTTTAGTTCTTCTGCTTTATTGAATTTGAACACTGCAAGTGAATATGTCTGTTGCATACCCTCCGTTTTGGCGTCCGATTCAAAAGTCTTCTACCTCAAAGATGAAGTGCAACTACCACCGCTACCTCGCCAAATTGAAGATTGGTGCCGAGCGTAAGGAGGCTGTTGAGAGCACCCTCTCTGCCTACAAAGGTGCTCAGGTATATGTATATATGTCCATTCTTCCACATTCATTTATGTGTGGTTCGAAATTGATTGGAATTTAAGGATGAAAATGAATAATGATTTGGTATTGGTAGGTCAAATGATTGTGTTTTGTATCATTGATTGATCAAATGCAACCTTAATTAGTCTGTTAATCAGCCAATAAAATTTGGATCAGAACTAAATTTGCCTCTTATTTCAACTTTAAATTGGATTATGATGTGATGTTCAGTTTTTAACTTTTAAGTTTGGCTCTGTTGTTTTGTTAATGTTATTATCCTGTTTAAGTGTTGTAGATGGGAGATCATATCCTTTAGTGGAGGTTACATTTCTCTTAACAAAGTTGAGTTCGATTTTTTTATTATAACCTTTTGGTAGTATAGGATTTGATTGTGAATGAAAACTAAACTGTGCAGTGCGTTTGATTATTTATACTAAATGATTTTTCTGCATATGAGATGTATAGGTTAATTTTGGATAGTCCATTATGATATATAGCTTCTTGTGAGAAAGGAAATGGTTGGGCAATGAAAGACTTTCTTTTGAAAAAACTCTGTGCATTAAGGTACGTGCTTGTAGAGGATTTGGTTTTTTTTGTGTGCATGCAAGTGTGCCTCATTTATTAAAGTCTACCAGTTGCAATTTATAACTACAAAATCTGAAGATTCTTTAATTTAGTGTAGCAAGGAAATATTGAGGGCTAGCCTTGTTTTATTCCTGGTGCATTTAGACGTGTTTGGTAATTAAAGGAATGGTTCCCTTAGAGTTATTTGGCTATCAACTTTACACTTCCCTTAGAGAAAATTTTCAAATACATCCCGTTGATTCAAAATTAATGTTTATGTTTTTGACAAAAAACATGTTGTTACTAAAGTTTCAACAGAAACAGTAGCAAACCATCTCATGTTGTAACATCAATTACAACACCTATTGAATAATCAAAAAGGTCAAAACGACAAAGATAAATGTTAGTGCGCTTACAAGATAATAAGGCAAGTCATGGTGATGAATGATGGTGAATTGGCTCACTATGTTTTGTTAGTAGAAGTTGAACCTGTTAAATTTAAAGAAGCTATTCAAAATCCCAAATGGAAGAAAGCTATGGATGTGGAGATGGCTTTAATTGAGAAAAATGGAATGTAGGAGCTTGATTGAGAAAAATGGAATGTAGGAGCTTGTTAGCAGATCTTCCACGAAGTCAAAGGGCATGTGAAATGTGTCTTCAATATCAAAATAAAGTCAAATGGTGAGGTTGAAACTTGAAAGATACAAAGTGGGGTTTGTGGCAAAAGGGTTTAAACGATAAAAAGGTTATGACTATGCATTATTAACATATGAAGCTAATGATGAGTATATTGCAGTAACATCGAGTGCATATCAAGTAATTTGACTTGGCAACATTATAAGCCAACTTGGGTTTCAGAAGGAAGGTCCAATCAAGATCTATGTGGACAACGTATTACGGTATTAGCTATTAATTTAGCTAAAAATATTGTATTTCATGGAAGGATTGAGATCAAGTTAATAGGGATCGGAGTGATTGAGCCAGAGTACTACAAGACTGAAGATCAAACTGATCAAATTGAAGATCAAGATAATGTTTACTCTATTAATTTAAGAATAATGTTATTTTTCCTTCTTGAGTTTACCTTGTAATATTTATGGCCTTATGTGATATTGAAATACTTCTTATTTATTGGCTACCGTAAATTGACCAACACAACCTAACCTTGAAATTAAGAATCTACTTATATAACATCCGCTCAATTCGAACGTGCAACATGTATAGATTTTAGAGCATACCCATGATCCACGACTCAGTATTACTCAAAAGATTGACAAATTTGATCTCTAATGTAATTCCATTTTCTATACACCTTAGATAACAAATTGAGGTAACATTAAACGACTCTTTCGTGATTAATGCGTTAATTTTTTTCTCTCTAGCTATCTAGGGTTTCAAAATTCCTCTCCTAGGGTTTCCGAGGTTTCTACACGTTTTTCGTCAATCATCTCTGGCTATTGGGACCGGTTTCCGATCCTTGATCTACGACGTTGACTCTGAATTACGCATAGTGATGGAGCAGCATGAAGGGGGGGCGGTGGCAACGATCACTGCACGTTGGGCAGACCTGACATTGAACAGGATGAGGCAGCGCCTTTTGCTCCTGAACTGGACGAAGCTGATGGCAAGGCCCAGCAGAGTGCTGAGCGTTGGATGTTGTTGGGAAGGTTTTTAACGAACAAGCTGGTGAAGGTGGAGTATATGAGGCAGGTGATGGCGGCGGCGTGGCAGCCGGTTGCGGGTATGGAGGTTTCGGAAATAAAACCCCGTTTGTTCTTGTTTACTTTCAACCATGTCACTGATTTACAACGAGTACTTAATGATGGACCATGGGCGTTTGAGAATGCAACGTTCGTGTGTGATCAACTTGTGGAAGGGGGTTTTCCGGATGATGTAAGATTGGATACGGTTCAGATGTGGATACAAGTTCATGGTTTGCCGATGGGTTAAACGAGTGACAAAATATTGGAACAAATTGGAAACTATCTTGGAACTTATATAAGAGGTGATGATAGGTTCACGGGTGCACCATGGAAAGTCTTCTACCAGATTCGTGTTGCTATTCCGGTGGACAAGCCATTGAAGCGAAGGTTGAATTTCGTGAAGAGGGATAAGTCTGCGTGTTGGGTATCCTTCAAGTATGAGCGGCTGCACAATTTTTGCTTCTATTGTGGTAAGCTCGGCCATTTATATAAATTTTGTAGAATGGCTAGGGATTCGGCTTTGCCGGTCGAACAATATCCATACTCAGCAGAGCTCCGGGCAGGTGGTAGAAGGGGACCAAGAGCAGTTGGTGAATATTGGTTGACGCCGGCGGAGGATAATCAACCTCGGCGGAGGATAATCAACCTTGGGGAGACCATTGATGATTGTGGTTTAGCGCAGATGCCTATGCACGGGTATCCGTTTACGTAGAAGAAGAGAGAGGGGACGGTGGATTGGTTGGAGGAACGGCTTGATAAGGTCCTTGTTATGGAAGCATGGAGGAGTATGAATATGCAGGCTAGTGTGTTAAATATGATGACACGCAAATCAGACCATTCGGCTTTGTACCTGGGGATTCGGGATGATATAAGGGGAGGGAGGCGGAGGGTGAGGAATTTCAGATTTGAAAT